TTGGCGCGTCAAACTATGGGGTGGGGTATCTGAAAACCGGCCCAGTAACCGCGAGTCTTAGATCCCAACTCCATAGCAATATTTCGGCCGAGCAGTCGGGTAGTCTTCTGGAACATCTTGTTACTTCGGTCTAATTCGTAAATTCAACGCCACCACTGTAGGATGATAAAAGATTTTACGTTATATCCATAAATATATATTAGAGATGTTACAGCATAAATACTCAAGACTCTAACAAATGTGTTGATTTTATATTTAATGGAGCACATAATGTAAATGTACGATGCTCAATAGTATGTATATAATATTGCTAAATAAATACATATTTGTATACTTTTCTTCCCTCTTACAGAATGATCTTTACATTATCAAGAGGTCAAACAGTAAGAATTAGATGAAAAATAGTCCCTCATGACCAAAATAAATGAACTAAACCTTTTCAATGAAAGATCGGAGACAGAAGGCGCTAGAGCTCCCTCCAGCCATTGGGCGCCAGGACCAGACGTCCCCGGCGCCCAGCCCCCATCTCCACGCCTCCGACGCGCTATCCGCTCTCGGGACCGCACTTACCGGGAACTCGCGGCTCGCGGGCCGGGCTGCCGCGCTTGCTGGGCGCCGCAGAAACCCTTGAGCCGCCGCCACTCCAGTGGCCCTGGGGCGCGCTTGGCCTCGCGCTGAGAAGGCGGGGAGGGGGACGCGCTCCGCCACCCCTACCCTTGACCGCCCCCAGCCAGGCCCCCACTTCTCTTCCCCACCCCATAGCTCGGCTTCCCAGCGCGCCGGCCCCAGAGTCTCCTTGGAACTCCCTTTCGGCCCAGGGCTGTATGCCGAGGGGTGCGCGACGCAGACTTGGGGAACCCCGAATTCAGGGTTATAACGCAACTTGCCGCCCCCTTTTCCTGGGGGTGAGTGACGGAAGTCAGCTAAACCCATTTTTACCAGGACTCCAGGCCAGGTCCTAATCAGCCTAGAGACCCTAGGGTGCAAAATTCCCTTCCCATCCTCCCGGCCGGGGGGTGGGGGTGGGGGGGGGTTTGACCAAATTCGGGAATACCAGGGACACTTTTTTTTAAACAAAACTTTATTGGTAATAGTTTTCAAATATGTTTACAACAGCACACTGTTCAAGAGGAAGTCTCATCCTTCCCAGCACACAGATTGATTCACCCCTGCGCCCACCCGGGGCCCCATCCCAAGCCTGAGAGCTCCTCCTGGGATGGGGAGAAGTTCTGAGAGGGGCAGATTTGAGGTTGAATAGGGGCTCCCAACTTTTCTATTAAGAGAGAAAAAAAGCACAAATGGGCTAAGAGGTGATAGACAGCTGACAGCTAAGCAGAGGAGCGCCCAGGATGGGGGGAGGGGGACAGGGCTGTTGGGTGAATAAAACAGAGCCCCTCCCTAGCAACCCTGGGCTTGAACGGGGGTCCACAGAGGGGGCAGGGGGGCTCTGCCTCCTTTTGCCAGGGTTGCCTTCCCAACTGAGCTGAGAAGAGGCCGGGCATTAAAATCTAGCTAAGAATAAAATTTAGGAGTTTGGGGGAGTGCTGTGGGGAGGAAAGACCCTGGGCTTGGGGCTCCCCCTCTACCTTTTGGGGGGACAACTCCTCTTTGTCAGGGAGAGGGGCAGCTGCTTTGTCTGCGTCCCAAAGCCCAAGGGTAAAGAAAGGTCTGTTGGGGCAGAAGGGGGTAGGGGCTTTAGGGGCTTCCTAAAGAGGCTGAGACCTTTCCAGGCTTGGCAAGGGAGGAGGGGATTAGCAGCTTGGGGGAGAGGGTAGAACCCCAGCCCTTTCCTTTACAAGTCAATCTGCTTCCCAGCCTTGTTAAAATGGATTTGGAGAGGGGGGGATGGGAGGCACTGGTGGAACTTAAATAAGTTTGTAAATTGTTTAAAAAATTCTAGCAAGTAGCCCACTGCACATGTCACTAAAATCTCTCCTTCCCAGGCAAGATTGCTTTGAAGGGAAGGCTGGCCATTCTTTTATTCTCCCTTAGCAAGTTTGCTGGTGGTCTGGTGAGGGAGGTGGGGAGGGAAGGGGGCTGGAGCTAAGTTTGGGCCCCTCTTTCCACACCCTGTCCCTGGATACACTGGTCTGACTAGAACTGAGATACTCGTTTAAAACAAGCAGAAGTGGGCTGGGGTGGAAGAAGGCAAGAGCATTAAGGAGGGCAGGAGGGTGAAGGGGATGAGGGAGAGCAGCTGGTA